GATGGATGGATAAAGAAGAGTGTGTGTGTGTGTGTGTGTGTGTGTGTGTGTGTGTGGCGATCACCGTGCTTACCCTGCCATGGGAGTGAGGGACAGTGAGGCTCACAGCATTTTTTCCTTTTTTGCTTGCACGTGTGCACCTGTTCCATCCTCTGCCGCTCTTCCAGGGCCAGAGCGCCCTGGCCCAGGCCCCATCCAGCAGATGAGAGATGGCTCTCTCCTGGCTCCCAACCCCCAACCCTGTGTAAGAATTTCCTGAAATGATTAGAAATGCAAATTGTGGCCATGTAGAGGGAGGAGATTCAGACACGTGTTGTGGTCTATGGCGTGGGACACAACATGAAGTGGGACTGCTTGTTTCTTGTTCTAAACACCACAAGGGGTAATCAGGGTTTGAAAAGGATTATTTGTGTGTTTATTGTGAGGCAGAGCATCAGAACAATCTCCATTTGAACATGATTATCCATCTCTCTCTCTCTCTCTCTCTCTCTCTCTCTCACACACACACACACACACACACACACTTCTCTATCCATCATTCATTTCATGTGAGGCAGGGCATCACAGAAATCCTGATTCATGATTCAAATACAGTGATTGATTTACTTGGAGGCCATTCAAACACCAGTATCTATTATCTGTGAGGCACAATGTGAGAGAAATCACAGTTCAAAAATGATTACTTATTTGGTTCACAGATATCTTCCTCCCCGTGATCTTACTTCGCCATCATGGGTGTGATATGGGGGGGGGGGGACAAAACAAAACAAAGCATGCAGTTGCAGTTGGACTCTTTAGTACCAGGGTGCTGGAGAGCCATTTGAAATCGAAAAAAGGTCAGTAGGTGCAGAAGTTGAACACTAGGTGGCGCGTCATCACCCAGACCTGCCAAGGATAGGAATGCTGCTTACTCACTCAATCTTAGTGATCCTTTGGATCTTGCGAATGCTGTGTGTGTGGATATTTCAAAGAAATGAAGTATCGGAGTGGGGTGGGTGATCACTATGCCCTGGGGAGTTATGTTTGGGCTCCCCCTCCCCCTGGCAGAACCTCACAAAAAATTCAATTCAAACATGACTATCAATCTACTGCGAGGCGGCGGAACAGGGGAAAAAGCACCAAACGGGGTTACCTATCCATCTCCCTCTCCCCGTTTCAAGGTAGAGCATCACAGAAATCTCGATTCGTACACCATCATCCATCCATCCTGAGGCAGAACATCAGAAAAATCACCAAACATGATTACTTATTTCTTTATTGCAAGGCAGAGCATCAGAAAAAATCTAAAATTCCTACATCATTATCTAACTCTTCATTCATTCACTCAATCATTCATTCATTCCTTCATTCACTGAGAGGCAGAAATCTCAGTTCAAACACGATTATCTATCATATTGATTGATCAATCGATCTATCAATCTAGAACATCAGGAAAATCATGAATCAAAAGCAATGATTGATTTGTTCATTGTGAGGCAGAGTACCAGAAACGCCATGATTCAAACATGATTATTTCAGGGGCGGTGCTGGGGCTTAGTAGGCTGAGCCTTTCCCTGAGGCACAAGCAGGCAGGCATCTCTTATGGGCGTGCTTTTGCCCCTGCACACACGTGGGAGATGCGGAACAAGCTCCTGCCTTCTGGCTTCAGAGCAGAGCGACCCAGCCATTTGGGGAGTGGAGTGAGCCGGCAGATGGAAGACCTTCCTTTCTCTCTGTAACTCTGCCACAATAAATGAAAATCATGTCTCTTTCACAGATTTACATTTGCACTCGGGCGATATGGTACTGTATTCCCATCCCCCCCCCCCCCCCACACACTAGCAGGGAGCTGGATTTCATGGAGCGCAGCCAGGACTCAAACCGCTGCTTTCTCCAAAGGGATGCCTATGTCAGGGGTGGGTGGTGTGTGAATCCACAGCACGACGATGACTATTTTTTTTTTTTCTTAATCAAGGTTGGTATTACAGACAGACATCCTCCTTATAATCCTAATTTGCAATCATCCATGCCACACTGGGGGGGGGCGGGGGCGGGGCGCGGAAGGTGGGAGAAGTCATTTGAACTCAAAATGGAGTCTTTAGTGCCAGAGTATCAAGAGCCATTTTGAATCAAAAAGGAAGGTCAATAGGTGCAGAAATTGAACACTGGGTGGCGGGTCAGCACCCAGGTCTACCGTGGGGGAAGAGAGCTGCTTGCTCACTCAGTCGTAGTGATCTTTGGAAATCTGAAAAATGCTATGGGGGAAAAATATCGGAGTGAGGCAGTTGTGTGTGGGGGGGTGTCATTATGTCCTGGTGAGTTACGTTTGGGATGCCTGCCACTTTGAGTTCTGCTTGGCGGCTCTGCTTAACATACAGCTTCCCATGAATAGATCCTTGGAGAACCTTTTCCTTATATGAAGGGAGACAGATGACATAGATAGGAGAGCCAGGAGCCAGTGGATGAAAAATCTCCCTCCCTCCCAACATGGTTATCTATCTATCTATCTATCTATCTATCATGTATCTATCTAGAACATCCGAAAAAAATCACGATTCACAAATGAATATTGAGGCTGGCGCCGCGGCTCACTAAGCTAATCCTCCGCCTAGTGGCGCCGGCACACCGGGTTCTAGTCCCGGTTGGGATGCCGGATTCTGTCCCGGTTGCCCCTCTTCCAGGCCAGCTCTCTGCTGTGGCCAGGGAGTGCAGTGGAGGATGGCCCAAGTCCTTGGGCCCTGCACCCCACGGGAGACCAGGAGAAGCACCTGGCTCCTGCCTTTGGATCAGCACGGTGCGCTGGCCGCGGTGGCCATTGGAGGGTGAACCAACGGCAAAGGAAGACCTCTCTCTCTCTCTCTCTCTCTCACTGTCCACTCTGCCTGTCAAAAAATAAATAAAAATTTTAAAAGAATATTGATTTATCTGGAGGCAGAGCATCAAAAAGTACCCTTCCTTCCTTCCAAGGCAGAGTACCAGAAAAATCATGCATTTGGACTCAAAATGGAATCTTTAGTACCAGGAGAGCGAGAGCCATTTTGAATCTAAAAGGAAGGTCACTAGGTGCAGAAATTGAACACTAGGTGTTCTAAATCAATCAAGCCATCTTAAGAAATAAGTGCCCCACAGTAGCTGGGACTGGACCAGATCAAGACATCTTAGCAAGAAGGAGGAAGAGCCCACACTCCGATATAAGATGCTGATGTTCCAAATGGGGGTTTTTTTTTTTTTTTTTTTGGCAGGCAGAGTGGATAGAGAGAGAGAGAGAGAGAGACAGAGAGAAAGGTCTTCCTTTGCCGTTGGTTCACCCTCCAATGGCCGCCACGGCCAGCGCGCTGCGGCTGGCGCACTGCGCTGATCCGATGGCAGGAGCCAGGTGCTTCTCCTGGTCTCCCGTGGGGTGCAGGGCCCAAGCACTTGGGCCATCCTCCACTGCACTCCCTGGCCACAGCAGAGAGCTGGCCTGGAAGAGGGGCAACCGGGACAGAATCTGGCGCCCTGACCGGGACTAGAACCCGGTGTGCCGGCGCCGCAAGGCGGAGGATTAGCCTAGTGAGCCGCGGCGCCGGCTTTTTTTTTTTTTTTTTTTTTCTCTTTAAAGAGCTTCTCCAGGGAACCTGTCTT